TTGGGGACTGTAAGATCTAATTTTAAGGGATGGTTCTTTCCTCAGGCATCAGTAGCTTCCTCATCAGTGTTTGCTAAAAAGTACTCAGCTAAATACTTGAGAAGGACCCTCTTCAAGTCTCCAGAGTGCTCTCTCTCTCTGCAACTATCTCCTCTCCAATCCTCTGTTCTGCAAACTCCAGCTGCTTTGGTCTCTTGGAGTCTCTGCTCTGTCTCCTTAACCTAGAGAATCTGTCAGGCTCCACGTGTGTGTCTCCTCTCTGTGCCTTGTCCTGTAAACTCTCACAAGGGAGTAATCTGGGGCAGTCATAGGTCTTACCTTATTTGTTTCCTGTCTCTTAGTGATGGCTGCCTTTTATTGCCTCATGTTTAGAGTCTTGAAAACTGTTGTTTCATATTTTTTTCTAAGTTTGTTTATTTTATTCTGAAGGGTATATTCAATCCCTGTTACTCCATCTTGGCCAAGAGGAGAAGTGCCATATGCTCCTTTAGAATCAATTAATTGATACAGCAGGGGACTACATTGAGTGATGGAAGTAGAAAGAGGGAGTAATGGATTGGGAAAAGTGTGACCATTTATGGGACCACTTCAAAGACTACTCATTCAAAACTTATTTATTGAACACCTACCATGTGCCAGGCACTGAGAAAAGATGGTAGCTTGGATTAAGGTGGTAATGACAGAGATAGTGAGAAATGATTGGATACAGGGGGTGTTTTGAAGTCAGAGACTATGCAATTTGCCATATGTAGGGTGGATGGGGTACAAAAGGAAGAGAAGAGACAAGGACAATGCTAAGATTTTTTAACCTGAGAAACTGGGAGAATGGCATTGCCTTTACTGACATGTGGATAAGTATGGGAGGGTAAGCTTTGGAGGGAAGATCAAGAGCTCAATTTTGGACATACTGAGCCTGAGATGCCTATTCAAAATCCAAGCGGTTATGTCAGAGAGGCAAACTGGAGTTCCTGTGAGAGGTTGGGCTGCTGTTATAAGTTTGCAAGTCATCAGCATACAGATGTATTGAAAGCCATGAGACTGGAGGAGGAAAGGATGAAGAGAAAAGACAAGGGAGACATCCAAGGACTGAGTTTGGGACACTCCAATCTTTAGAGCTGGGGAAGAGGAGGAGGTTTCTTCAAAGATCACTGAGAAGAGGCAGCTAATGCGGTGGGAGGAGATGAGGAGAATAGAACTCATTATTTGAAGGAGGGAGTAGATAAACCATGTCAGATGCTACTGAGAAACAGAATAGGGTATTGTGAACAGAGAAGTGACTCTTAGGCTGAATTGTGTTCCTGACTGCTGTCTCTTTTAATCTGGGAGCAACACTGAGGTCAGAGATTCTGGCAACCTCATGTCTCTAATGTCAGCACCCAGCACAGGACCTGGCACACAATAGGTGCCTTGGGGATGTGCATGGAACGGACACATGAATTAAAGAGCACTGAGCAGCGGTGAGCATTTGAATGATCCAGAAGTTGGAACTTCTAGTCTTGGCTGCATAACTTGTTGCTCTGGCCTTAACATCTCCACCTATAATCTGAAAGGATTGTCTTCAAAGTGCTTTCAGCCAGGGTTCAAGAGACTCCTTTAAAGTCGGGTTACTCAACTTGTGGATGGGGAGAAAAGAGACCCAGCAGTACACCATGACTGCAATTGGGCTTTTTACAGAATAGTCATGCCTTACTCTTGGTTTGAAAGTCACCCTCTTCGAGGATCCCACTACTCATCTAGGAACCCCTGCACATCTCTCTTTTCTTTGGCAACTCCCTGGTCTGTTCCTCGCCAACCTGGTATTACCCACTTGTTCAGTTTCCCTGTCCCTCGCTGCAGCAGCTACTGCAAACCTTCCGGCCTCCTTCAAAGTCTGCACCTACTGCTGCCTGTTGCCTCTGAAGATGAAACTCCTTCCCATTTCACTTAGAATGCTGTGGTTCTGCAGGAGTGAATTCCTTCAACTGTCTCTCACTGGTCCCCTACACCCACCTAAAATGTTTATTATCTCCTTCCTTCGCGGCCTGTTCCTCAGTGTTCTTGATAAGTCCTGTCACTTCCTCTGCTACCTGAACCCACACACTACACTTGCCTTTCATTGGCTCCAGCCTCAACTGGAGTTGGTCACAAAGATATTTTCATTATCTGCTGAATCCCTCCTCAAGACATTTAAAATTGCTTTATTATCTCCTTGACGTAAAAGAACAACAACACAGAGATTTCTCAACCCCACATCCTCCTCCTGTTCCCACTCTATCTCTCCCTTTCTTTCTCAGTCAGGCTTCTAGAAGGAGTTAGCTACATGGGCTATCTCTTGTCCCTCACCTCCTACTTCTCGTACCTAAACTCTGTGAAACACGCCCTCGTTTTCCATCTCTCCTTGACACTGCTCTTGATAAGGCTAACAGCAGGGCCCCTGCTACTCCATCCAGCAGCCTGTTCCGGCCCTCATCTCAGGGGGAGGAAGAAGTATCAGGCGATGCAGGCAGCCTCTAGCTTCTGATATGGGGACCCCGAAGGCTGCTCCCTTCCCTAGGAAGTCTCTCCTCATGTTTCCCACACCCCTTGAGGCCTGTTCTCCTCAGTCTCCTCCACTCGCTCAGCCCCTCAAGCTATCTGTCATGGTAGCAGCCCCTCAGAACTCCACCCTCGGCTTTCTTCTCTGCTGTCATGATAGGGGGTGGGCTTAGCCCCCCTGAAAACCTTAACTCCCAGGTGAAGACCCTGACATTTCCATGTGCCCCTGCAGGCCAGACCCCCCCTGAGTGCCAGGCCACTCAGAATCTGCTGCAGTAGGCCTAGAGAGCCATGGTGATGGCTTGATGTCAGGCCAGGACCTTGGGGATGGAGGGCAATGGGTCTACTGAAGTCTGACACTTTGGGGGAGACAATCAACTCAGGATAGAGGCTGCTTGGATGTGATGAAGGAAACAAGGAGTTACAGTGGACATTGAGGATTCTGGCTTGAGCGACTGGGAAGTGGGCAGGCTCCTTTATGAGTTGGGTAGACTGGAGGAGAAGCTGATTTGTCAGTGAAGGTGTCAAGTTTGCTTTTAGCTCTGAAGTTGTCCAGCAGGAGGTTAGAGATGAGGATAGGGAGCTTAGGAGAGACACCTGGGCTGGGGACTTGATTTGGGACATGAGGGTACTGGTGGCCTTGGGACTAGGTGACGTTACTTGGAGAAAGTGTGTACATGAGAACCACTGGCCTAACTGCCTATGAGGTGGGGGATAGCTGCCAGCCCTCGGTCCTTGGCAAGCAGCCTGAGGGGCCCGTTCTGATGAAGGGGCGCATGTGGCAGAGTAGCTGCTGCTGCCGAGCAGCCAGACTGAGGACAGGGCTTGTTCTGGGCACAGGAGGAATAGGCATCACAGGGGAGGAATCTGTCTTGGTGCCAGAACCTTAGAGGGGGCACAGATGTGGGAGGTGCCCTCAGAGCTGGCCCGGCCCTGTGTTAAGCCCCTCTTGATCTTCAAGCTTCAGCTTCTTCACCACATTTTCCAGGAAGCCAGCCCGGAAAACTTTGATCTGTGCCTGTGGCCCTGGCTTTGTTTGCATTGCCTGGAACTTTCTGTCTCCATGGTCTGCTGCCTCTAGGGTCCTAGCAGGGACTCAGGATGCTGGTTCCTTTCCCTCAGGTGCTCTCATTAGCATCCTGGTGCCATAGTCCCACAGAGAGCACCAGGCGAGCATCTCTGAGGCTGCTTGACGTTCCTGCCATCACCATGGTGACAGCTTCAGAAGCTGAAACAGCCTTGTAGCTGTGAGTCCAGCAGAAGAGGCCATGGGAAGTCTGGGGGTCATGGTGGCCATTTGTCTCCACATCTGGTGAGGCGTGCTGATAAACCCCAGCAGAGAAGAGCTGCTCCAAGCACCTCCTGCCCCGGCTCTCTGACTCTTTAGCAAGAGACACTGCGAAACGCAGTGTCCTGTCTCCCTTGTTTTATTCCCCCCTGGTCTGCTCCATCTCAGTCTATTTTGTGGGCAACTGTTAAATGTTGGGGCTCTCCAGGGCTCTGACCTGGATCCCCACTCCATCAACTTTTCTTGTGTGATCCCACCCACTTGCTGTCCCTCACTCTCCACACCCGATCTGTCTTCTCATCCCATTCGTTCTCCTTCCTAAATAGCTTCGCACTCTGCCCTCTTGTCCTGGCCTCCTTTGGCACCATCTTCTCCAGCCTCCTCCCTGCCTCCCGCCTCCACCCTAGCTCCCTCGAATGCAGGCTCCACAGAGCAGCCAGAGAGGCCTATCTGAAATAGAAGGCAGCCTGGTCACTTTCCTGCTCAGCTCTTCCGAGGCTCTCCATAGCCCAGAGGCGAGGGTCCTCACGATCAACCTATCAAAGTTAAGACAAATTAAAGCAAACCATCAAAAAACCGTTTATCCCATCTTCTGGTACCTTTGCTTTGCAGATGTCTGGCACATGCAAGCCAGTCACTGTTCCCAAACCCCTGCTCCACAGAGACGTGTCTCCCTGGCCCCGAGCAGGTACTCCCTATCCTACCCCCGGCTCTCTGATTCTCCTCACCTGAGACCACCCAAGAGCTCATGCTTCCCTGGGAAGACGGCAGCTGCTTGGGACAAGGGACACATCTGCCCTTGTGGGGCGGGGGATTGGGGACAGTGGCTGGTTTGGAGGTGCTCAGCAGTTAAGCACATGCCAGACATCCGCAAAGCACAGGCACTGGAAGACAGCTTAAACAGTTTTCTGTTTGTTTGAGCTTTGGTAATTCATATATCAAAAAACTCACTTTGTAGTTTAACACTTTTCATTTTAAAGTACATATCGGGGTGGGGAAGTACCTTCATTTTCCTCGTTCTTAGAGCCCTGCACCGTCATGGCACTACCTGGGGGTGCCGAGGCTTGCCAGCTGGGCCCTGGCTCTATTCTCATGCTGCTCACCCACGGCTCTCCTGCCCTCTATGGGTGCCAGGGTCCTTTGTCCTATTCCTCTTGGCCTCTCGCTGGCAGGTGAGGGTCCTCAGCGTACATGGAGGATGACTGATAAATCCAATGGTGTGCAGAGCTCCCCAGCCAATAACCACAACCATCATGCACCTCCTGCTATCAAGGCCAATGGCAAAGGTGACCACAGGACCAGCAGCAGGTGAGTCCACTGAGGTTGGGTGGTTACAGGGATGGTCCAGAGGCTGCTACTTCCTCCCAGTTCTGCCTCGTTGTCATAAAACAAGCAATCCTTGGCTCCAGTACACCTGCAGAAGGGACCATGGCATTTCTAGGTATGTCCTGGGAGGGGAGACAAGACATGCCCAAAGAACCCTGGGTCAACCCTACTTCTTTCTGTGCAGGCCACAGTCTGCGGCTGATGATGACACCTCCTCAGAGCTGCAGAGGCTGGCGGAGATGGATGCCCCACAGCAGAGGAGGGGTGGCTTCCGCAGGTGGGTCCCACGACAGCCCCGCTGCTACCCTCTCCTGACCCTAGGCCCTGTAAGGGTGGCTACCATGGCCCTTCCACTAAGACCTCTAGGGAACACTGTCAGTGCTGTCCTAACATAACATAAATCTTCTTCCTCCTGAGGCCTGAGCAACCCCCAAGGCTCCTGTGAAGATAGCTCACAGTGACCAGAGGTGGCTTTCCTTCACGCTTGGCTGTTTCAGTGTCGGGGGGAGGTATCTTTCTGAGAGGAGCCTAGGTAGAGGGCCCCCAGGTCTCCATCCCAGAGGTGTGGGCTCCACAGGAAGCCTGGGGAAACCTTCATCCTGGCCCTGAAGACCTCCTGTTTGCTCTTCACAATCAACTGAGATGGCACATCCTACAGGAAGTCTTCCCAGGACACCCCCTCCCCATCGGGCTGCATCTGAGGTGTGCCTGAGCCCCAGCCCGCACCCTCAGTGCTGGCCTCTCTTAGCTCTTAGCACATGGGAAATCATGGCCTGGCTTTATTCCAGGTTTCCCTCTCTGTTTTCCGTCTCTGTCACCAGACAGTGAGCTCTTGGGGACAGGCCCTCCCTAGACAGTGGGGATCTCCTCTCCGGCTCATGCTCCCTCTTTCATCTCCAGGATCGTCCGCTTGGTGGTGGTCATCAGAGAGTGGGCCAACAAGAATTTCCGCGAGGAGGAACCTAGACCTGACTCTTTCCTCGAGCGTTTCCGTGGGCCCGAGCTCCAGACCGTGACAACACAGCAGGGGGATGGCAAAGGCGACAAGGACAGCGAGGACAAGGGCACCAAGTACAGCCTGTGGGGCTCAAAGGGCTCCCAAGCGTGCATGGGAGGGCTCAGTGGGGTTTCTAATGCCAGTGCCAGGGGCAGACCAGGGCTAACGCCAAGCCCTACCATAGGAGGGAAAGGGATGGACAGGGGTGGCCGACTATGTTTTCAACTCCAGACCATTTCCATTGTCCCTGCCCACACCCTCTCCAACAGCCAGTGGCTTACTTGCCATGGGAACTTCTGGTAGCTTTTCTCACCTTAGCTGCCCCTTGCCAGATATCCTCTTGTAGCTCATGCAGGGAGCAGCAGGGGCGCCCAAATGTGGGCAGAGAGGGAGCTCAGCCCAGGGTGTGACAGCGCCAGCCCCAGCCCCAGCAGTCAGAAAACGCTGAGGAGGGTGCAGTCAGGGAGTGCTGTTGAGGGTGTGCCCATCCCAGCTCCAGTGTGGGCAAGGAAATGGATCTTTGAGGTGGCCATGCCAGGGGCTGGCAGGAAAGGCCTGGATGATCGAGCAGAGAAAGCAGAGCTGGAGGGTCTGTTCTTTGAGGAATGAGGAGGCGACTGCGGATGTCTGGCCAAGCCGACATTCCCCATCTCTGGCCAGTGGAAGAAAAGGGCTCTTGCCAAGACAGGACGCAGCATCTGGGAAAGTGATTTGGAGGCTGGGAGCCAGGGACCAAAAAGGGAGGGTGGGGTGGGCAGGAAGCACGTGGCGTTCACTCCCCTCGGGAGGGATGTGAGAACAGGCCAAATCCCTCATTATGGGCCGGCCCGTGGCTCACTTGGGAGAGTGTGGTGGTGCTGATAACACCAAGGCCACGGGTTCGGATCCCTATATAGGGATGGCCAGTTAGCTCACTTGGGAGTGCATGGTGCTGACAACACCAAGTCAAGCATTAAGATCCCCTTACCGGTCATCTTTAAAAAAAAACAAACAAACAAAGCTCTTGTTACCATCCTATGGAAATCTCTCCCCAGGCCCTGAGGCCCTTTCCTGCTGAAAGCTCTACCCCTTAACATGCCCTCTGGGCAAGGGGCTTCCAGAGGGCATGGGAGCCAGTTGGCCTATCTAGGACCAGAATGAGAAAAGGGGTGTCCCTTAACCATCTGAGCTCCATTCAGATGCCCAGTACCAGGCTGCGGGTCCCTGAAAAATGATGTCCTAAGCCAACTCAGCCTTCACTAGACATATCCCCTTAGGCAGTACTTTTGGGGAGTCCCTAGCCTCTGGGAGCTGAGATTTTGCCACACTTAGGGACTTGGAACCCAATCCTGGCCTCTGTCTCCTCAGGAAGAAATTTGAACTATTTGTCTTGGACCCGGCTGGGGACTGGTACTACCGCTGGCTGTTTCTCATTGCAATGCCTGTCCTCTATAACTGGTGCCTGCTGGTGGCCAGGTGAGTTCTGGGTAGTGGAGGGGAGAAGCAGCCCAGTCCCCAGGCCCTGGGATTGAGAGCACACCAGTCCCAGCTGTGGATGGAATTACCTCAACCCAGCTGACCTTCAGGATGACCTGGCTGCCAGTGTTCCTCCATCTACCTAGTTAACCCCAACCCACACCCCCCTTTACTTAATATGCTACCAAGAGTTCATGTCTGTCTTCTTCCTGGGGTCTGTAATCTACTCCTTCTCCATCCACATGAATACCGTCCTGGGTGAGGCCACCCTCCTTGTTCCCTGGAATCAGCACAGCAGCCCCCCACCCATTCCTTGTAGTGCTTTTGCCCCCTCCAGAGTATCCTCTGCACTTGCAATGAGCATTCTTTTTGCAAACTGGGATTTGACTATGCCACTCCCTGCTCACAAACCCTTCAGTGGCTCCCAACGCCCACAGGATGAGGTTCAAGTCCTAAGTGTGGCCTTCAAGGCCCTCTGGACCTGGCTTTCTCTGGGGCTCCACCTTCTGGCACACCCCAGCACCAGCACTCACTGATCTTGGATCAGAACATGCTGTTTTCTCAAGAGAAAACTCCCTTTCCCCGTTTTCAACCTATGGAGAATCTTCTTGCAAGCTCAGCTCAGAAGCCACTCTGTACATGCAGCTTTTCCTGACAGCATTGCCCACCCCGCTCCACCTGGCTTCAGTCATTCATTCAGCAAGGATTCGAGAGCACCAATAGGTGCTGGGCTCCATGTTCAGTTCTGGGGATAATGTGGTAAGCAAGACAGGCATAGTCTCTTCTCTCCTGTGGCTCTCAGGCTAGTTGGGGACACTGATCATAAACATGAAACAAAACAAATGACCAAGACCATTCCAGGGGCTGGTGGCAGGGAGCTGCTAGAGAAGGCGCAGTCAGGCTAGGCTTCACTAGGAGGCAACATCTTAGTTGAGAACTGAATGGTGGAGGGAGTCAACTCATTAGATACTTGAGGTTGGTGGAGGGAGCATTCTTGGTAGAGACCCTGTCTTGGTATGGCTTGGTGTGTCTGGAGGCTCTGAGCGAGTCATCAGAGTAGCTGGCCTAGGCCAGTTTTGCAGGCTTTGTGGGACAAGGCAAGTGGCTGCAGCTGTATCCTAAATGTGACTGAGTAGTCAGAATTAATCACTCCTCCCTTTGACTTGCTGGATCATCATCCTGGGCTCTATCCCTTAATTTGCCTTCTGCATAGGCCCCTACCCTTCAGTTGCCAAGACCTGGCAATTCCTTCAAAAAAGGTCCTGCAGCCTCAAACCTTTCTCCATTCCCACTGCCTCTAGCCGAAGCCTGGCTCCTACCCTCTCTCACCTGGACTGGTTAGTGCTCCCTGCTGGGTGCTCAATAGGTACTTGGTGAAGAGATGAGCATAGAGGCTATTCCATGTGCACTGTAGTTTGTTCTTATGACTTATTTATTTATTCAACTCATACTCACTGAGTGCTCGAATCCTGGTGCCCTGGGCTAGGCATGGGGCATGCAGTAGTGACTAAGAGGTGTCTCTGCCTTCCTGGAGCTCATGGTCCAGTGGGTGAGCTGGACAAATAATGGCCAATGGTGATGTCTATGTAATGATGGGAGTTGGGTTAGAAGTTCCTTGTCAGTGTGTCCTTGGCTCTAGGCTGTCCATTACTCACCAGTGCCTCTGGTTGCCATACCAAGCCCTGAACACTGTGAGCACTCACTTTGGGGCCTCCAGGGGACCTTGGATGGCTTTGAGGGTGCAGCCCATCACTGTCTTCCTGCAGAGCCTGCTTCAGTGACCTACAGAGAGGCTACTTCATGGTGTGGCTAGTGCTGGACTACTTCTCAGACGTGGTCTACATTGCAGACCTCTTCATCCGATTGCGCACAGGTGAGTGAGCAGCTGGTACGTGCAGGCAAGAACATGACCCAAAAGTCCAAATGCCTGAGTCCAAATTTTCAAGAAGTTCCCCAGAGATAGTGTTGGGCTCAGCTGCTTGGCTGGGACTGTGGTAGCTGATCACCCTTCTTTGAACCTCATGGAATCTGGAGGTGGTCTCAGTGTTCTCCTGGCCAGCCCTGCTATGTGAGCTATATCCTTCCTGGGAAGGAAGGTTTAGTGAGCAGTTGGTTCCTTGCTGAGCATTTGCTCATAGGGAGGGATAGGTCTGAAGGCAGTGGTGACATGCTGGCTTGCATCTCTACTAGGTTTCCTGGAGCAGGGGCTGTTGGTCAAAGATACCAAGAAATTGCGGGACAACTACATCCACACCCTGCAGTTCAAGCTGGATGTGGCATCCATCATCCCCACGGACCTAATCTATTTTGCTGTGGGCATCCACACCCCTGAGCTGCGCTTCAACCGCCTGCTACACTTTGCCCGCATGTTTGAGTTCTTTGACCGCACTGAGACGCGCACCAGCTACCCTAACATCTTCCGCATTAGCAATCTGGTCCTCTACATCTTGGTCATTATCCACTGGAATGCCTGCATCTACTATGCCATCTCCAAGTCCATCGGCTTTGGGGTTGACACGTGGGTATACCCCAATATCACTGATCCTGAGTATGGGTACTTGGCTAGGGAGTATATCTACTGCCTTTACTGGTCCACACTGACCCTCACCACCATTGGGGAGACACCACCTCCTGTAAAGGATGAGGAGTACTTATTTGTCATCTTTGACTTCCTGATTGGTGTCCTCATCTTTGCCACCATTGTGGGAAATGTGGGCTCCATGATCTCCAACATGAATGCCACCCGGGCAGAGTTCCAGGCCAAGATCGATGCTGTCAAACACTACATGCAGTTCCGCAAGGTCAGCAAGGAGATGGAAGCCAAGGTCATTAAGTGGTTTGACTACCTGTGGACCAATAAGAAGAGTGTGGATGAGCGGGAAGTTCTCAAAAACCTGCCAGCCAAGCTCCGAGCTGAGATAGCCATTAATGTCCACCTGTCCACCCTCAAGAAAGTGCGCATCTTCCATGACTGTGAGGCTGGCTTGCTGGTCGAGCTGGTACTGAAGCTCCGTCCTCAGGTCTTCAGTCCTGGGGATTACATTTGCCGCAAAGGGGACATTGGCAAGGAGATGTACATCATCAAGGAAGGCAAGTTGGCAGTGGTGGCTGATGATGGTGTGACTCAGTATGCACTGCTCTCGGCTGGGAGCTGCTTTGGAGAGATCAGTATCCTTAACATTAAGGGTAGCAAAATGGGCAATCGACGTACGGCCAATATCCGCAGCCTGGGCTACTCAGATCTCTTTTGCTTGTCCAAGGATGATCTTATGGAAGCCGTGACTGAGTACCCTGATGCTAAGAAGGTCTTGGAGGAGAGGGGTCGGGAGATCCTGATGAAGGAGGGGCTGCTGGACGAGAATGAGGTGGCAGCCAGCATGGAAGTGGATGTGCAGGAGAAGCTGGAGCAGCTGGAGACCAACATGGAGACCTTGTACACTCGCTTTGGCCGCCTGCTGGCTGAGTACACGGGAGCCCAGCAGAAGCTCAAGCAGCGCATCACGATTCTGGAGACCAAGATGAAACAGAACAATGACGATGATTACCTGTCAGATAGCATGAACAGCCCCGAGCCAGCTGCTGCTGAGGAGCCATGAGGGCTAGGGCCCAACTCCCAGCCTTGGTCTTCACCCCAAGAGCTAGAAGAGCTGTATAGATCTTCAGATTCATATACATTACCCTTATATCCCCCGAATTCTCTCCAAAGCCTCTCTGACCCAAGGTTTTTTGCCTAAACATCGAGGAGCCTTCCTCCAAGTGTAGCTAACAGCTAAGCTTCTGGAAGTGCAGACCATATGGTCTGGGATTCCAGTAGCTTCAGCCTGCCCAAGACTGAGGAAGAAAAAAGGGAGCAGCTTAACTATCTTCCAGGGTCTGTCCTGGAACTGGAAGCCTGGGTAATGACCTACGCTGAAGAAGCCCATCTGCAGAATGGTGTGTACCCTGCTGCAATACTCCCCTCTCTCTGGCTACTTGGTACCGAGGCACTCCCGCTGGCCCCTACTTTTTCTAACATGACTTCCGAATACCCCCATTTTCCTGCACATATGTGTAGTTCAAGCACTGGCTGCAGCTATTTAGCCCGGGTACCCAGTGTCTGTACCCCAACGCAGGAAAAGGAGTGTGGTGGTGGTGGTAGGACGATGCTCACACAGTGCTGTCCCTTCCTGTCAGACACTCCAACTCCTGCTCTGCTGATTGGTCTGTCTGCTAGCCAAGAGTGGGGTCTCTGCAGTTTTCTGGACCAGGAAGATGATGGCTTCTGGTCCATTCCAGGGAAGGGAGTGAGGAGCAAGGCAACTTGCAATCATTCACCTGGAGAAGGAGGTGGCCGGTGGCTCTTGCCATCACTCCTCTATGCAGAGCATTCCCAGAGAGGTCCCGAAGGCTGGTGACGGGTGAAAGACTCTTCAAGTTAATATCCACATTAGAGGCACTTACAAGTTAATAAATTTCTTTGCATTCTTTGTGGTTATTGTTGAACTCTGCTATTTACATTCTCTCTCTCCCTCCATCAATCCCTCTCTTTTCTCCATACTTCTCTTCTTCCCCTATTCAGGACTCTTTCCATCTGGAATACATTCTGTCATCTTCCCCGGACTGCCTAAGCCCTACTGTTTTTTCAGGACTTAGTTCAGCCACTACCACCTTGGAGCAGGCCCCTTTGAATGCACCTGCTCTCCCATTAAGCAGCAATCACCCCCTTTCTAGACTCCCACATGCTCTCGGTCCTGGCTGTTATCATGCTGCGTGGTCACTTATGATGGATCCGGTTTCCCCACAAGGCTGTGGGCACTTTGAGGGCAAGGCCAAGACAATCTTCCTCACTGTTTTGTCTGCAGTCTCAGTAACATGTCTGGCACAGAGGAGGCATATAGAGAAAGTTTATTCACTAGGGGTGTAGGTGAACTCATGAGTGAGTCAATGAATGAATGAATGAATGAATGAACACAATGGACCAAAACTTCTATGCCTCCACCTCTCAGCAGCTGTGTGTTGACAGGAACATTGACCGTGCCTAAGGAGTTAGCAAGGATCTCCCGGAGGAGCAGGTGTTAGAGCTCGGTATTGAAGGGTGATCAGGAGCCTGAAGGACACATGCTAATTACTGGACAAGAAGTTCTACTCAGGTGCGGACTCAGACGCCTTCATATTCATGCACACCATTTATTTATTTACTTGTTTGTTTGCTTATTTTTTGTGGCAAAATACACATAAAATTGATCACCTTAACAATTTTTTTTGTTTTATTTATTTATTTTGATGCATTTTAATCGTACATACTTATGGGGCTTAATATTTTTTGAAACATAATTGATTGTACATATCTGTGGGATACAGCATTGAATATCAATTCCTGTGTGTCATGTGTGATGCTCAAAGCAAGATAATTAGTATATCCAACATTTCATAATGTAATCATTTTTTGTGGCCCTTTACCTATTTCTCACTCACCCTCCACTCCCAACCTCTCGTGGCTCAGTTCTGTTCTCTCTTGAAAATTCAACAAATTATTGTGATTGTTGTATCTTTCTTTCTTTTGTTATTTATTTATTTATTTATTAGCTCCCACTTATGAGTGAGGACATGCAGTGTTTCTCTTTCTGTGACGGACTTATTTCACCTAACATAATTTTCTCCAACTTATCCATGTTGCTGTGAATGGCAGAATTTCATTCTTTTCTATGGCAGAGTACAATTCCATTGTGTATATATACCACATTTTCCTCCTTCACTCTTCCATTGATGGACACGTAGGTTGGTTCCATATCTTGGCTATTGTAAATAAAGCTGCGATAAACATGGGAGTGCAGGTATCCCTTCAACATGATGATTTCCATTCCCTTTGGTATATATTCAGTAACAGCATTTCTAGATCATATGGTAGATCTATCTGTAGTTGTTTGAGGAACCTCCATACCATTTTGCATAATGGCTGCACTAATTTACAGTCCCACCAACAGTGTAGGGGGGGTTCCCCTTTCTCTGCATCCTCACCAGCATTTGTTATTCTCTGTTATTTTGATAACAGCCAGTCTAACTGAGGTGAGACAGCATCTCAGTGTGGTTTTGAATTGCATTTCCCTGATGCTTAGGGATGTTGAACATTTTTTCATTTGTCTGTTGGCCATTCGTATGTTTTATTTTGAGAAAGGCCTATTCAGCTCCTTTGACCATTTTTTAATCAGGTTACTTGTTTTTATACTGTTAAATTGTTTGAGTTCCTTATATATTTAGGATGTTAATCCCTTGTTGGATGCATAGTTGGCAAATATTTTCTCCCACTCTGTTGTTTCTTTGGCTGTGCAGAAGCTTTTTAGTTTGATATAATCCCCTTTGTTTATTGTTTCTTTTGCTGTCTGTGCTTTTCAGGTCTTGTTCATAAAAACTTTGCCTAGTCCTGCTTCCTGATGGGTTTCCCATATGTTTTCTTTTAGGAGTTTTATAGTTTAAGGTCTTAATTTAAGTCTTTAATCCATTTTGAGTTGATTTTGGTATACGGCAAGAGGTACAGGTCTAGTTTCATTCTTCTACATAGTATATCCAGTTTTCCCTGCACCATTTATTAAAGAGGAGGTATTTTCCTCAGTGTATGTTCCTGGTGCCTTTGTTAAAGATCAGTTATCTGAAGTATGTGGGTTGGTTTCAGGGTTCTCTATTCTGTTCCATTGGTCTGAGTGTCTGTTTTTATGCCAGTACCAAGCTGTTTTGGTTACTATAGCTTTCTTTGTCGTATAATTTGAAGTCAGGTAGTTTATGCCTCTGGTTTTATTTTTATTTTTAGGTCAGGATAGCTTTGGCTATTTGGGATCTTTTGTTGTTCCCTATGAATGATAGGATTCTTTTTTCTATTTCTGTGAAGAATGTCATTGGTATTTTCATGGGGATTCCATTTAATCTGTAGATCGCTTTGGGTCATATGGACGTTTTCACAATGTTAATCCTTCCAATCTAAGAGCATGGAATGTAGTTCCATCTTTTTGTGTCCTCTTTAATTTCTTTCAGCAGTAATTTGTGGTTCTAATTGTAGCGATCTTTCGCCTCCTTGGTTAAATTGATTCCTAGGTATTTTTTTTTTTTTGGTGACTATTTTAAATGGGCTTGCTTTCTTGATTTCTTTTTCAGCTAGTATGTTATTGGAATATAAAAACACTACTGATTTTTGTGTGTTGATTTTGTATCTGCAACTTTACTGAAATTATTCATCAGCTCTAAGAATTTTTTTGTAGAGTCTTTAAGTTTTTCTGTATATAGGATCATGTCTTCTGCAAACAGGGACAGTTGGACTTAGTGTTTTCCAATCTGTTTACCTTTTATTTCTTTCTCTTGCCTGATTGCTCTGGCTAATATTTCCAATACTGTGTTAAATAGGAGTGGTGACAGTGGGCAACTTTGTCTTATTCATGTTCTTAATGGATAAGCTTTCATCTTTTCTCCTTTTAGCATGATATTGGTGGTGGGTTTGTCATATATGGCTTTTATTTTGTCGAGATAACATTCCTTTGTGCCTGTTTTGCTGAGAGTCTTTATCATGAATGAATGTTGAATTTTGCCAAATGCTTAGGAGTTCAGTTTTCACCATGTGCTGGAACTTGGATGAGATACTATTTTTGCAGTCCTAGGATGGTACTGGGGCCAGGGGCAGGGGGATGACTACATTACAAATTTTTGCCTTCATTTCAGCAAGAAATCTACAGTGTTTCTCCTTGGATCCTTGTTTACCCTCAGTCCAGCCCCAACAGGTGCCTGATATCCAGCCCACATTAAGGGGTGGACTTTACATCTTGGATTTGGTTTTCACTAGGGCAAAGCAGGTGGCTCCTCTGTGTCACACAGGAAGCCCATGTGTGAGCCCATAGGTTTCAGGGCTCAGCTCCCACCCTCTCCCAAGCTTCCCTTCCCCTGACATCCTTGGGTCCAATCTCCCATATGTTTTGCCATCTCAAATGTCTACGTTGTCTTAAGCTTTCAGGACTTTTCTCATGCTGTTCTTTCTGCCTGGCTCACCCACTTCTGCCTTTTGTTCCTCTGAGACTCAGTTCACAGGCCCCTTCTCTGAGCCCCACCCCAGCTTTCTATGCAAGACTTCCTTGCACACTGATGCATAAGTGTCCATTTAGCAACTGGTCTCTTCTCATCTAAACACAATTTGTCCATTAAGAAAAGGATGAAGGAGTGACAAGGAATATCTGTGCAACTTGTAAGAGTGTGCGTGTGGTGTGTACCTGTCTGGACATGGTGTGGATGCCTGTGTGAGCACCTAGACGTCAGCCTAGGCAGATGACGTCTGTCTCTGACCAGCTCCCCGCCCCCGTTGTGCTCTCTGCAAGAGCGTGACTCTCTCCTGCCTGACGCTGGCCGCCGCCCCCGCCTCCCTCCAGTAACTGAATGTAATATAAGAACTGAAGTACATTTTCCATTATGTGTTGTATTTATTCAGCACAGCCTGATGTTCCCTGCTCTTAATTTAAAAATGTTTAAATTGAAATGCTTTTAAAAATTTTTCCTTTGAAAATACCCACCGAAGGTAAATTGCCCTATTTGTATATGGCCATCAATTTGCTTTTCTCTGCATTGATGACCTGCTATAGAAAAC